AGGGCCTGGCGGGTCCACAGACCCCCTCGTTCTCCACGTTCAGCCTTGCATTTCTTCTTCACAGCAGTCCTGCGAGGGAGACAGCATTGCCACTGGTGTCCAGATGAGGACGCTGAGGCCCAGAGAGGACCCACCGGGGACCTGAAGTGTCCCACAAGGTCACTCAGTAGAGCAGGGGTGTCAGCTTCACTCCAAAGGCTGGGTCTTGACCACCAGGCTGCACTGCCCGGTGCCCCCCTAATCCCACTAGGATCCAAGCCAGCCCGTCCCTCGGCCCATCACTTGGAAGGGAGTGCTGGGAACTGGTGTTGGGACACAGAGGGGTCCCCAGTGCCTCCTTCAGTGCTTGTGGCATCCCCTAAAGCCTTTGTTCTCAGGTCCCTGAAGTGGGGCGCAGCTCCCTTCCCACCCTGTCTCCTCTCCCTCTCGGCAGGCTCAGTGGAAGGTTCCTCTCAGTCAAGGGGAGGCTCTGAGGAGAAAGGGAGGAACCCCTCACTCGCTGCTTGGCACCTGCCAGCCCTGGAGGAGCCTGATGAATCGGCTGTGTGTGGCCCCCCCCCCCCGGCCCCATTCCTCCCTCTCCAGCCCCCGCCTGGTTGGGGAGGTGCGAAGGAAGCGATTTCACAGCCTGTCAGCTGAGGCCTAAAAATACCCAGAACTCCGAGATGCTTGGGCAGGGGGAGGAGAGAGCAGGGACCAGGCTGGGGTGCTGGGGGGGGTGCAACAATGCTAACTTGGCCAGAGCAGCCCTCACGGCTCGAGAGCCCTAGTCAGACGTGATGGGCAGGGATGCCCTACATCCCCCACCTGACCCCATTTCTGGGTCTTGAGAGCTCCGGCCCTCAGACCCAAGGGAGGGCTTAGTCTCAGACAGGAACCGTGGCACCCAGGCCCTTCAGAGCCTCTGGTCGATGGCTCTTTCTCCCTCTCCACCCCTGAGTTGGCTGGCATCTTTAGGCCGTGGGAGCCAGGCTGGGCCTGTGCCTGCTTCCTTCCTGGAGAAGGTGCCTGCTTCTGTTAGGGGAGAGGCGTGAGGAGGGCAGCGTGGATGGGGGTGCTGGCAGGCGTGCAGTGTGATGTGCGAGCCACCCAGGCACTGGAGGGGGGCAGAGGAGAAGGGGTGTGGCGGCCCGCGTCACTGCCACGTGGCTGTGTGCGAAAGCCTGGCACAGGCCCCCCCCCTCCCCCACCGCCACGAGGCAGCCAGTGCCCGGAAAGGGGGGCACGTGTGTGTGCATGCGTGGGGGCCCGCTGGAGCTGGCCTGATCTAGGTCCCAAAAAGCTCATGGACACGTATGACCGGGCGGATGTAGCGAGTCCAGACAGAAACTGGGCGAAAGCCCAGGCGCAGGTGGAGAAGCATCAGCAAACACGTGTTGCATCCGGCAGACACATGAGGGTGTGTGTGCTTCCCGTGTGGAAACATGATGGCATGTATGCCCGGGCACAGGAACATGGGAAGGCCTCTCTGGGGCCCTAGGCAAGAGCTGGGAGGCTCATCAGGGAAATAATGGGGTTCATGGGGTGCCTGTGTGGCTCGATAGAGCACGCAGCTCTTGATCTTGGGGTCGTGAGTTCAAGCCCCACGTTGGGGGGTTGGAGGTTATGGATAATGCATACGTTAATTAATTAAAAGAAATTGTAAGTAATGGGGTTCAGATCCCAGTTCTGCCATGTACTGGTTGGCTGTGTGACCTCGGGCAAGTCACTTAACCTTTCAGTGCTTCATTTCTCCGTCTGTAGAGTGGAGGTGATAAGAGCACCTACTTCAGAGGGCTGTTGGGAGGATATGATGAGTTGATGTATATAAACTGGCTGGAACTGTGCCTGTCACCGAGTCAGCACCATGCACATACTAGCTCTTCTTATCGGGTTCTCCCCTTCAGTGACACAGGTGGGAGCGCCAAGTCCAGAGAGGGCAAGTGACCTGCCCAAAGTCACACAGTAAGTGAGTGGCAGAGCCAGAGTTAGAACCCAGACTCCAGTGCCTTAGGACGGGGCTTGCTCAAATTTAACTTCATGAGACCGCCCCCGCTTTGGACCGCAAGAAGTCCCTACAACACAGGACTGTAACCACATTGGCATCTAGGGCCTAGATTCTGCCAGGGCTGGGCTGGATCATGGGTACTTGGGGATCTGAGCATCTTCAGATAATGCCAGGGTGGATGGGTCCTCAGGGCAGTGGTTAGACGCCTGATTTAGAAACATGCCTCTGATTAGCCTGTGGACTTGGCCAATTACTCAGCCTTCCCGAGTCTCAGTTTCTTCCCTATAATGGAATAACAGTAATACATACTTTATGGGGTTATTGTGGGAAGAAAATGAGATCCTGCATGCAATGCTTTAAGTGACTGGAACATTGTGCCTAATAAATGCTCGGTAATGTTAGCTGCAATTATAACCCATGCAGAATGCTCCCACCCAGTGCTCCATAGATGGTGACTTCCTGGGACGCCTGGCTGGCTCCGTCAGTTAAGTGGCTGACTCTTGATTTCGGCCCAGGTCATAATCTCATGGTTTAAGCCCGGTTCGGGCTTCATGCCGACAGCACAGAGCCTGCTTGGGATTCTCTCTTTCCCTCTCTGCCCCCGCCCCTCTTGTGTTCGCTTGCTCACTCGCTCACTGTCTCTCAAAATAAATAAACTCCTAAAAAATGATGGAAAATTGCTTCTCTCTCAGCCTCTGACTACCCTTACTCCCTTCCATACTTCACAGGGCTTAGACTGCTCAGGGGCAGTTTGCAAGCAGCCGAGACCCGTCTCTGCCTCCTGTTACTGGTTTTCCCCAGAAAGGAACAGGACCCACCACTGGGACTTAGCTCCTGAGCCCTCTACATCTGGCCTCATCACCCACTTGGTATATGAACTTGGATAAGCACCATTTCCTCTCGGGTCCTGGCTTTTTCCTTCTGTAAATTAGAAAGGCTGGACCCCATAGTCCCAGATCCTCCTGGTCATGTTGCTGTGTGACCCAGGAGAGTCCCTGGCTCAGCTCACTGGAGGGGGTGGCAGGTTGACAGGAAGAGAGGTCGGCTGGCTTCCCTGAGTGAGCGGAGCATCTGGGGCCTGAGCCGACTGGTGGCCTGCCATCATGCCAGCCCGCACCTGTGGCTGCGTAGGAGGGCATGTGGGCCCGACTGGCTGGGCACTGACATTGGGGAGGCTCAAGGACGATGACTAGAGAGAGCCCTTCTTGGGGCCCTGGGAGCTGCCACTCCAGCCGTCCTCCCCCGCTCTCCTCCCTGTCTCCCCCGGGCTTTCCTTCAGCAATTCCTCCTTCCTCCCTGTCCTTCCTCTCTCCTTCTCCTTCCTGGAGTCTCCCAGTATCTCCTTCTCTCTTTCCTCCTCCAATTTAGTAATGTTGACCATTTTCCAGGGTGCCTCCTTCCTTCCTCTCCCTCTGCAGAGGGGAGATCTCTCCCCCCTCCTCTGTCTCTCAGTTTCCTGAGATTCCTCCTTTTTCCTTCCTACAACATGGAAGAAATGTCCCTGTTTCTCTCGATCTTCCTGGCTGCCCCTGCTGCTCCTGAGCCTAGGTCTCTCTCTTACTCTGCAGGGGCATGTCTAGGCCCCTTCATTTCTTGTCCCCTGGCTCTCTCCCACTTCACAGTCCCTCCTTCCC